TGTTACCGACATCTGGTGAAAATTTCATGTCATTAGCACCTCTAGTAATATATTTACTGAGAAAAATGGTGACGTGTTCAAGACTTATTTTACCCTCTGTAAATATCAGAGGTATCTTTATAAAACTGGACTCCTAATGTTTGTTGGTGAAAGAAAACAATTAACAAAAAAGATTAGAAAAGTGAATTCAGACATCTACGGTAAATGAGAACAACTGGGTGCTGGGAAACACCAGATGTACATATTGTAAATAATCAGCTGTTTTACATCAGGGTAGTAATCTATCAAAATACAGTATAAGTGGATCTTAATGGAAAATGGTAAAAGTAAAAGTAAACATCAACACATACCAAACCATTGCACAAACATTCATGTAGAGAAATAAAAGAGAAATAGAAAACAACCATGAGAGGAGAGACAGTGTTTTCTTCACCAGAGCTACATTCAAGTGTATTCACCAAGCCTAAATTAAACTCAGCTTTTTTTGGTATTTATTCATGACAGGTTAGATTATATTTGACATTTCAACTAGAAGTACACTGGTGGATCAAATGGTGACCAAAACGACTGATACTCAGCCTAAGCAGCTGACCAAAGCTCAGAAATCCAATATTTTTCTGTTCAGTGAATGCACCACAGGCAAGCTGCAGTGTGGAACATTTATACTGTGTGGAGTAACTTGAAGTCAGGTATACACTGGGCTGCGCAATATATCATCATCGCAATATCAGTGTGCGCACGCAATAATTGTGGACTAATGTAATTCAAGAGTTTTGAAGTATTTTTTATGCTAATGCAATATTTAGCCAGCGGGACAGAGTCTCACAGCTGCAAAAACTCACATCCGACACACATGACCTTGCCAAAAATCCTAAAGGTCACATAGAGTAGGAAGTATAAATTAGAAAGGGAGTAAAGAACAACAAAAGACATATATCGCACCTGATATCGTCATTGCAATATTTACATATATTTATCATACATAATGCCATGATTTTATCTGCGCTGGTTCTGACTCCTCAGGCCATTTTGTAAATATGCCATGCTTGACCTTTATCTGTCCCCACACCTTCCTGCCTTGTGATTCTCTCATTCTCAATCTCAGATGTCCTCACACACACTCAGGACTCTTTACATCCTGTTTCTACCAGCCTGTGTGACATTTACCACCTACGCATGTGTGAAGCTTCAGAAGCCAGATGACCTCTGTGCTGTTAGGTAGTGGTTGATTATTAACAGTTAAAACCGAGCTAACAGCTTGAGTGTGAGAGTTGGCAGGGTTGTTGTTTTCTCCTGCTTTGGTTTGCAGTCAGTCAGTACATATTTACATGCAAATAATTAAAAAATTCCACCTCATCCCTCCAGGCAAAGGTCTGTTTTCCTCCATCATCATGCCTCCACCAGTGTTAGCATTGAGTTGAGCTACATATGAAATGTTTTTGCGGTATAATTTCTAAGGCCCCAAACATTTCCAGGAGTTCTGATAAATCCATCATCAAGAAATGGAAGAAATATGGGACATAGTTACCATGATTTTTTGGTTTTCTTGCACTTCTTATACAGCTTATTCATCAAAATGCATT